TCAACTTTCCTCACATGAGAAGGAGCAATAAGATGACAGGAGTTGAATTCACCAGATTATTTGTTGCTCACTGATGGTATTGTAGCTTCCATGCATAAATGTCCTCATTGATTTATTAATTTACTTTAATGTAGAGTGAGAGTTTGTGATCCAGGTTCACAAACAGATCCAGGCTCAGTGTGTTCTCAAGCAAAAATGTGACATGCGTCATAGTCTGACTGAAGAGTTACACCTTTACTCAGGAATGTGACTGTGCAGGAGACTTTATAAGTGTGAAATAGTTTTGATGCGTGCAGTGTGCTTTTGCCCCTGGGGAGGGATTAGAGACTAGACTAGACCAGTCTTCTAAGCATGCATGTAGGGGGCAGCCATCCCCATTCTCAGTGTGGATGTGGTGGAATAGTCTATTTTGCTCAGAAAAGTTTCTAAATGAGTGAAATGACCTAGAAGTATATCAGCAGCTGACATAACAGATATACATCCAGTTTACACCTGCAGCTGTTGCAATGTTTAAACCAACTACCCCCACCTACCACCTTGCTTTTGCACATTTAAAATCCTCCGTGGTTATAGGGAGCGCCAGAAGGGAGTTGAGTGCCCTTACAGACTCTGTATACTGACTGTAGAAAAAGCAGACAATAAGTGAACTACATCCAATATTTATTATTAAATTAATGTGGTATTCCCTAAAATATTTGATTTAATTACATCAACACAAATATTTGTGATTTTCAGTAACTAATATTATTCCTAATAATATACGCCATAGTCACGTTATTTTACGTTTCACATGCATCATGGTGAGATTTGAAAATGACAGCAGTACTCAGGTGGTACATTTGGCACCGGAGCAGTTGCACCCGACTGTCTCTTTGGGGGTAACTTCCGCCCACATTTCAGATGAAGTCTGGATGATGAACTGTATGCTCTGTCTTCATTGCTGCTGCATTCACATTGTATTTMACAGGTTAGTAGAGGGTGTGTCATGCTTACACACGCACATACTCACAGCATTTCCTTTTTCATGTTTTATGTCACTTTATGTTTTACTTTGATACTCACGCTTGTCTGTGTCTCTTAAGGTAACGTCACTCCTGCCCTTGTGTGTGTCACTGATTACCTTCACTTCTCTAATTTGTTTCAGTTGTGTGTAGTTAATTTCAATTCAGTTAGTATATATGGTCTGCTTCTCTCACTGTCCTATGCCAGGTCGTCTCACCTTGTACGTAGCACAAGCATCTTTCCCAAGTCTTGTCTTGTGTTTTTTGACTACGTTTTCCGATTTAGCGACTAAGCCTTAGCTTCACGTTTTTTAGATACCTTTGCCTTGTCTCTTGCCTTTTTGTGTACTGAACCATGACTGGAATAAACCTACTACTGTTTTTGGAAACTGGATGGAGTTGTGCTTTTGGGTCTCAGTTTACATACATAGTCATTACAGGGTAAAAGCTATCTACATTAACTCTTTAAAGTTTAGATTTATCACGCTAAGTGTTGATTGAGACAGATTGATGTCGTTTTAAATATTTTGTTGGATTGTTGAAAACTTTGAAACTCAGTTCAGTCCTCAGTTTACCTACACGGCCATTACAGTACGAAATGGCCAGCGTGGACCCAGCACGTCTCTCTGGGTAGAGAGGCAGCCAGATAGCCTTTGTCTCAGGGTAAGTGGCACACCACAGACTTTGCCATAGAATTCCATACCTTAGTGACTGATAGTGGCTGGAACCAATCACCTTATTTGATACTTTTCTTCATGGTTTGGCACCTCTTGACTTACCCAGTGACTTAGACTCGCTGACAGCCATTGCCATCCACATTGATAAGAGACTTTCTGACTAAAAGAGAGATCCAGAGCCTCAGCATTTCACACCATCCCTCGTCGACCCTCACCTGGTTCAGCTCATGCTTCAGGTCATCTACCAGGCGATCCAGGCAAAATGACACTGCTGCCCCAGTCATGGCCTGCTCCTGCTCCCACCTGCCGAACTAAGCTGAAGGGGGCAGCAAGCGCTGCTCCGTGTTCCCGCGCAGCGCCGAAGGAGACAGCGAGCGCAGCTCTGACTCATTATCCCTGCGCAGCGTTGAAGCTACCAGAGCATTATCCCCTGAAGGAGCGCGAAACCCATGCAGTTAGGATGCACACAACTGTCAGCTGAGGAGTGCCGGCATTGACTCCAGGAGGGCAGATGCTTCTACTGCAGGCAGTCAGGATATCTCCTCCTTATGCCTGTTAAAAGATCGGGCTCTTTTTGTCTTTGCTGCTCATTGTAGAATTTTCATAGACACTGTCTCTGGTCCTCTCTGGGGCATAGTTCAACAGGCTATTGTGTTTGGGAAGTGCGAGAGCTTGGCAAAGGTCAAAGGCTTCACTCCCTAGACATCACAGATATGAGACTGCGTAAGCAGGCACTACTATCTCCATAACTAGATAATACATGTTTTGGATTTTTTAGGACCTTGGTGTTGTCTCTTTAATCACTTTAGCCAGTTGTCCCCACTGTCCATCACATCTGACCCACACAATTTCCTCTTGGGCCAGGGGTTTCAGTGGCACTGCTGTTCTGTTGTAAGGGTTGATTTGACACTCTTTAGGAATGTTTGACACACTGTGCTCCATCCTCTGTTTTGATGCTAGAAGTCTGGTCAGCTTCCTTTTCATGAGCATCTCTGCTGGTGAAAGTCCATTCTCCAGTGGCTCCGTAGTTAAGAATAGCCAGATATGGGTCCTCACAGTTTTCTATGGCTTTCTTTACAAGGCGCTTCACAATTTGCACGCCTTTCTCCACCTTCTTGTTCGATTGCGGGTAAAGGGGACTCGAGTTTATTTGTTCAAAACCATAAGTCTCTGCAAACTCTTTGAAACTCTGGGTGCTAAATGGCGGCTCATTGTCACTTATCACAGTGAATGCAATCCCATGTCGTGCGAATATGGCCTTTGTGTGTGTAATTACATGTTCTGCCATCGTGGCGGACAGCTAACAGAATTCTGGGTAATTGCTGTGGTAATCAATCACAAGTAGGTAATCCTTGCCTTTTAGCTGAAATAAGTCCATTCCAACCTTTTCCCATGGCTCTTGTGGTTTATCATGTGGCATCATTGGCTCTTTCAGCTGTTGATATTGATGTCGCTGGCAGAACTCACAGCGTTGCACCAATGTCTGAATGTCTCTATGCATGTTCGGCCAATACAGAACATCACGTGCACATCTCTTACACTTTTCAATACCCAAGTGTCCCTCGTGTACTAACTTCAGCATTTGTGATCTTATGGAGGTGGGAACTACTATCTGTGTGCCCTTTAACAGAACCCCGTCCACCACAGATAACTCACCCATAAAGTGCTGGTATGGCTTGACTAGTTTCACTTTGCCAGGTAAGCTAATCTGTTTGATCACACTCTTAAGCAGGGGTCTCAAACTGGCAGCCTGCGGGCCAATTGCGGCCGTCGGGACGATATTTTTGGCCCCCACCTTAATATAAAAGTTTAATGTTAGTGCGGCCCGCAAGTTTTATATTGTAGCAACCCCGCTCTTAGCTGCTGTGTGGGACAATGTTATGATGTTCAGGTTTCCTACTGTGTGTCTGTCCAGTGAATGCGGCATGCATGTGAGTGACATGGTGGGCGGGGTCGTGTGTGTGTGTGTTTGTGTACATGTCAGAGTGAGTGAGAGAGAGAGCCAGGAGAGAAAAGAGTGGCTTTGGATGTGCGGAGAGCAGGAGGGTAAAATTCATAGTTTTCCGCCCTCTTTCGCGCAGGTCATGATGTATCCAGTGCTTCATTTGTAAATCACAACGCTAAGTACATATGACAGAGCAGGTATGACAAGCACAGGTCCCGGGACGCACATAAAACGACACTTAAAACAGCACACACATGCCACTTACAACGCAGTGGGACTTATTTAGGCTATACTGCAGTGACGGTATCAGTCTTTGTGTCAGTGATTAATAAAATGAGCATCAACTGTAATAAAGTGAGTAAACTGAGCAAAGGCGACTTCTGTGTCCAGTGGAGAAAACGAACGGAACACACACACACATACACACACAATTTGGTAATTTGAAGGCAAAGTCAAGGGACACCACGGCTCCTTTACGCACACGTGTGTGAGGTTTTGGGAGCTTCTTTACGCAGACAGATTATTCTAAACTGCAGCAGTTTATAACACGTCATTGAGTTAATATCTACATTTTACAGTCTGGTCTGTTTTACGTTATTATTTACACCTGATATGTGTGGATGAATTTTAATGATTTAAATTCCCTCATCGCACCTGTTGTTACCGGAAAAAGCGGAAATGATGTGCATTTGCGGAAATTACGTCTCCGTGCGTCGCTGGTTGGCTAAACACTTGACTGAAACTTTATTGCGTGAGCGACAGCAAGTGGAATGAATATATATCTTGTCACACAGCCCCAATCATGTCTTTTTCAAAGCCTGCAGTGAAGAGAAAGGTTGGTGACGAGCACAGACAATTTCAGGTAAAGTGGGAGATGCAATATTTCTTTGTTGAGCACATGAGCACCCCGACGTGTCTTATTTGTACAGAAAAAGTTGCGGTGCACAAGGAATACAACCTCATACGTCATTACTCAACTAGACATGCTGAGGAGTATGCAAAATATCAGGGAGATGAGCGAGCCAACCGGGTTGCCAATCTTAAAACATGTCTACTGAGACAACAAAATGTCTTCAAGAAAGCAACCAAAGAGAATAATGCAGCAGTCGAAGTAAGCTACGTGGTTAGTGAGATGATTGCTAAGGCAGGAAAGCCATTCACAGAAGGCGAGTTTATCAAAAAGTGCATCTTACAGGCTGCAAGTATAGTCTGTCCGGAAAAGAAAGGTCAGTTTAGCAACATCAGCCTTTCTGCTAACACCGTGGCAGAGCGCATTTCTGACCTGTCAAGTGACATTTATGATCAACTGCGTGAGAAAGCCAAATTTTCAATGCATAGTCAGTCGCTCTTGATGAGAGTTCAGACATCACTGACACTGCCCAGCTCACAATATATGTCTGTGGTGTTGATGAGAATTTTGAAGTGATGGAGGAGTTGCTCACGGTAATTCCAATGCATGGTCATATGGGGTGCCGTTTGTAAAGCAGCTCACGCTGAAAATAACAGCAACATTTTGTCACATTTAGCTTCAAACCATGTTTAAAAAACTGGTGTGAATTTTTGAGATTCACATTTTTGCACATGGTTTGAAGCTAAATGTGACAAAATGTTGCTGTTATTTTCAGCGCGCCAGGTCTCTGGCAGCAAGAGAAGCCATGTTCAGAAGAACCATTCATGTTCTTCAATATTCTATTCATGCTCAGAAGAACCCATTGAAGTTACATAACTGTTAATAATGATATTTGAGAAGTTTGGATTTTTTTAGCAAAGTTTTTTTTGTGGAATACCTGTATCTGGGTGCGGCCCAGCCTCACCCAGATACTGCCTCCAGCGGCCCCAAGGTAACTTGAGTTTGAAACCTCTGCTCTTAAGTATTTCATCCTCCTGAGTTTCTTTAGCTATTTCTGTCCATTTTGCTTTAGACACTGGCATTTGTGTTCTGACATAATCCACATGGATTTGCACATCATCCTCAGTAGTACTTTTGTCATGCTTCAAGCTGGCCCTGCTCAATGTATCAGCTACTATTAAGTGTTTGCCAGGTGTGAACTCGAACTTTAAGTCGTATTTTTGGAGACGTAGCATTAGACGCTGTATGCGCGGTGGCACATCTCCTCGTGGTTTCTCAGATATTGCTATTAGAGGTTTATGATCTGTCTCTAAAATAGCTGACGTTCCATATACGTACTCATGAAACTTCTCACAGCCGTACACTGCCCTAGGGGCTGTGTCTCCTTTTCTATTTGTGCATAATACCTCTCTGCTGATGTCATAGTGCGGGAGGCATATGCTACTGGTAACCACTCTGTGTCATGTTTTTGGAGTAGTACAGCACCTAGGCTGGCTTTTGAAGCATCTGTGGAAACTTTAAGTGGCTTTTCTTCATCATAGAATCTCAGGACAGGCTCTTTTGTCAGAGTGTCCTTTAACCAGTCCCACTCACTCACATGCTCTGCAGTCCACTGCAACACTGTGTCTGCCTCTAACAGGCTTCTCAATGCCCTTGTGTTAGATGATAAGTTAGGAATACATTTCCAGAGGTAGTATACTAAACCTAAGGCTCTTTGCAGGTCGTTCTTGTTCTCTGGTATGGGCATTCCTGCTATAGCTCAGATTTTCTCGGGGTCCTGCTGCACCCCAGCTTCTGATAGCTTTTCCCCCAGGTAAGTTATGTCACTCACACCAAATTTGCACTTCTTTTTGTTCAGTTTTAAACCTGCTTCTTGTGCTTTGTTGATCACTCTTCGAAGCCTGTCATCATGTTCCTGTTTCGTGCGAGCCCAGATTACCACATCATCAATGAATACACCATCCCCTTCTGTTCCATCAAACAGCTGCTGTATAGTTTTGTGGAATACTTCGGGAGCAGAACTTATACCAAAAGGTAGTCTTAAGAAACAATGCCTCCCGATTAGTGTATTGAATGTGCAGAACTTGGCACTCACTTCATCTAGCACTATTTGGTAGAACCAGATGAGGCATCGAGTTTGGAGAATTAGCGTGCTCCACTCATAGCACTGGTTATGTCTGATTTGGTTGGTAACCTGTAATGCTCACGCTGAATCCCTTTATTTAAATTCTTGGGATCTCAAATTTCGTTGGATTGCCCAAGCACCCCTCTGCCAAGGAAACAGCAAAGGTGGTCCTATCCCATGTTTTCCGTCTCCATGGCTTCCCCAGGGACCTTGTTTTGGATTGTGGGCCCCAGTTCGCTTCCCGGTTTTGTAAGGAGTTTTGTAGCTTGGTGGTGGCCAAGGCCAGCCTCTCTTTAGGTTATCACCCTCAGTCAAATGGAGCTAGAGATGGGTCTTCAATGTCTGGCAGCACAGAATCCCTCGT